CCTTGGTTTCATGGTGGATGGCGTTACGTCCTTGGGCGAAGACATTACTCGGGCGAAGACATTACTCCCTCCTCTCCACGCAACTTTTCATGGTGAATGACGTTGCTTCCTCCTCCTCACGCAACTTTATGGGCACACACAGGCGCGGACGCGGACCCACGCGTGGGGGGGGAGCTAGGCGTGGCGCGGGCCGGCAGGACCGTGGCCGCGGCAGCCATAGCCGCGGTGGTCGTGGTGGTCGCGGCCGGCGGGGTGGCCGTGGTGGTGGGCCTGCGGCAGCGGATGCGGCGGCGGCGGAGGAGGAGCAGGAGGAGGAGGAGGAAGAGGAGGAGGAGGACGCCACTGAGGATGATGTTGGAGAGCCACAGGCACAGTAAGCACGGATGCAATGTGAAAATGCATGTGTATGTGAATGGCACGGTAACCCCCAAGGCGTGCACATCTGTTGCACCGCAGACGTGGTCGTGGCAATGGACGTGGGGGTGGCAGGCGGCCCCGGTTCAAGTACACACGCGAGATGCGTGGGGACCTTGGCGATCGGTACCAGGAAGATGCGCATAGGGGCAGGACCACTGGGCAGTACAGAACGCAGATGAACAAGTTCAGGGTAAGGATAACGGGGTCCTGCTGTGATAAGCCAACCGTACATGCCGGGAATGTTGTACATTCACACGCCACCCACACGTTACCCTTGCCACCAGGAGTTCCTTGGACAGCTGCAGGAGGACATTGGGAAGCTGGCAGAAGACCTTGTGGGGAGCGAGCTGGCGGAGGTCGGCGGGCAGTGGCTCCAGTGGATCACTGAACGAAAAGTAAGGCTGCTCCGTGTGGATGCACCATGCTTTGTGTCGACATCATCAGGCAAATAACCATCCCAACTTTAAAATCTTTTTGAACTGTAACACTGTGAACCATGACATGTGTAGGGTGGTCGTGTCGTACATGCTTCCATCCTGCGTGGAGCAAATGCTGTGGAGTGTCCCATACGTGCGCTGGTGGAGTACCTTTACACCATGTACACCCTGGCTGGCGAGGAGTACCCTGACCCGCTAAAAGAGGAGGACTGGTAAGTAGGAATGGTATGCAATGCATGAGGACTCCTGGGGCTTAAATACGCATTTCAACTTTTGCAGGTATGAGACACCGCTGCTGCGCATGCCTGGCGACCGTCGGAACACTGTGCCATACGAGTCTGTCTTGCAATGGGTCACCGTCCTGTTCAGTGCCATTGGGCTGTGGACAACAAAGAAGCTTCATGCGATGCGGGTTGCACCTGCCCGGATCCGTGATGCCTAGCTGTCTCGTCATACCTTGTGAGCCAGCCCACAGACGGATTGCTCACACTTGCGGGCTTTCCTTGCACCGCCCCAAACACCCCGGCCACAGCACACTGGGCACCTCGTTTTATGGTTCAGATACCTGAGGAAGTGCTGTCCATCTGCGTACTCGAGCTGTTTCCCTTCCTTACGACGCTCAGGCCAGCGGTTGCAGAAGTTGAGAAGCGCAAGGTCACAGGGTGCAATGCTCGCTTGTCTGTGCCGTACCACTTGCAGTTCCTGGAGTTTGCAGCTCGGTGTGCAGCCCAGGACGCATTGGAGCTTGCAAACACCTGCCCTAACAACCTTTTAGTCCTCTGCTTACAGAAGAATCCAATGTGGCAGCAGGTCTACTCCCGCTACAGGCACGCTCTTGCTAATGGGGTAAGTGCATCGGCCCTTGCTTGGAAAAATGGTGGGATCGTACTCTTCACCAATGGTGGGATCGTAGTCTTCACCAATATTGGGGCTTTCCTTTTGCAGGAAATTGCGGCAACAAAACCCCCCATCGTCATAGACCTACTTGGGGGCATTCAGAGGCAGCTGGTAACCTTGCAGCAGACAGGAAATGGGCACCAGGGGGCCGGCGCCGCGGCCAGCTGGTCCAACTGGCATACGTTGGGCAGCGCACCTCCCTGGCCGCGGTGCCGGCC